CAGTCCATCCATTGGCGATCCTTAAAACACACATTCCTGGGAAGAGTTTCTGTTATCACCTTTTTCTCACATCTTTCTGCTGACCTCTGCATTCCTGCAGCTGCAGACTTGTTCTTGTTTGTCTAACGGTCAGCTCTTGGCCTCTTTAGAACTCAGCATACTCATTTAAGACAGCTAAGGCCCCAGCACCCAATATCTAATCTAAACCTTCCCTGGCACAGCTTGAGGCCGTTTCCTCTTGTCCCGTCCCTTGTTCTCTGGAAGCAGAGCTCAACCCCCACCTGGCTCCACTGTCCTGTCAGGGAGTTGCAGAGAGACAGAAGGTCACCCCTGAGCCTCCTTTTCTCCAGGCTGAGCCCTCCCAGCTCCCTCACCTGCTCTTGGTGCTCCAGCCCCTTCCCCAGCCCCTTCCCTTCCCTGGACACGCTCCAGCCCCTTAGTGTCTTTTGTTGAGAAGGGCTCAGAACTGGACACAGGACCAGAGGTGGGGCCTCACCAGTGCCAGGTACATTATCTCACTTAAGGGAACATTTCAGCCTTAAGGATCTTCTGTTTCCTGACTGACTGTGATGGAAAACCATCAAATCATGGGGTTATTTCAGGTAAACACTGAACTCTCCAAACGATTTTTTATCTCCAGTTCATTGTTCCCCAAGCTATGATTTAGCACCTTGAGCATTTCTGGAACAACTCTGGGCTTTGGCTTTTCCTCTCCCCTCTCCAGCACTGGCTGTTGTGGTTTCTGTGCCCTCAGGTGGCCGTAGTGTGTGGCTCCTGTGTTGCTGGAGGTGCCTACGTGCCCACCATGGCCGAGGAAGCCGTGATCATAGATAAAATTGGGACACTGTTCCTGGCTGGCCCACCACTTGTAAAAGCTGCTACAGGAGAATATGTGTCTCCTGAGGACCTTGGAGGAGCCAAACTTCACTCACAGTATGTGGAATCTTCTCAAAAATAGTACAGAATTCAGCAGATTCGGCTTTAAAGGAACATGACATTGTCATTTCAGAGCAGGGCCAAAAGGGAAACCTGTGACTACACTGGTTTTCCTTCTCAGGTTCAGGGATTTTGGTTAAATCAGCCAAATGGAAGTAAAATTACGTGTTGCTATGGGGTGAGGCAGAGACTAGACCAATTGGATTTGGATTCCCATTGTTCTGCATACTTCCTGAACAACTTCAGGCGAGTCAGTTCCTCTGTGCCTCAGAGGGACCAGCTCAGAAGAAAAATGCTATCGCCTGTTTTCCTAGTGTTTTCCAGGATACATATATTTAATTTAACTACGTCTTATTTACTTTTTATCCAGGCTGGAACCGCTTATTTTGAAATAATTCCTAAAGTTTGTTTTCCCATTTTCCCTTTTCAATATTGTTTGTAACAATAGCCTCGTGAAAATACATTCAAAGGTCTTTCTTTAGTCCAGATAAACACAAAAGTCACAGGGAAGGACTTCTCCTTACTGTGAATTTGGGTTGAATTGCACAGAAATTGCCTTGAGCTACTGCTTTCAGCTCATTCATCCAGAACAAAATCACACAGTATTTGCAGGGAGTTTGGAGAGCCACAGTACAGATCAAGGTTTTTTCCTTTGGTTTGGGCTTTCTATCAGTTTAGATTTCATTAATTCAGTGCTAATCAGTGTTGCTCTCTATCCTAGAGTCAGTGGCTGTACTGACCATTTTGCACCTTCAGAAAAGGAGGCCTATGAATGTATTCGCAATGTTATCTCTACGTTAAACTATGACCCAGTGCCAGAGGAGGACACAGAGCACGACAGTCCCCTGTACAGCTCTGAGGAGCTCCTGGGACTGGCACCACAGGACTATAGGTGTACTCTTCCTGTCAAACTGGTAAGGAGACAGGGACTGCGTTCCTTTATCCCTCTGTCTGCTCTGTCTCATAGCTCCAGATTAACAGACTGTTCTTTCTTGAAGAATATGTATTTTTACCTCATCCATTGCCAGCCTGTCCTGAGTCTGCAACAAAGCAGGATGGCAGCAATTCTGTGGAATTATAGAAAATATTTAAACTGAAATCCTGCTGGAGATAAGATACATTCTAGATAACTCTAGATTATGCCAGCTGATCCCCATCAGATCCATGCACCGTTGAGATGCTGTTGTGTCAGCATGACTTGTACTGTGTTGGCTGCCTTGTGAACGTGCACCCCTTTAGAGTCTGGTTTTCCCCTCCTCCTGTTTTTTGTTTTTTCCACCCCAGGCAATCAAGACTGTCATACAACAGAAATGCTTGACTGAAAAAACAACACAGCTCAAATTAAACTTGTTTGAGGTTGGGACAGACACTAATACTTAAGCAGAGACAGTGCTGCCCATGCCATTTTCATTGTGTTCTAGATGAGATTTAGTCTCCAAGGATGTGAATCCAGTATCTTTTCTAGTGGTGAATTCTTGCAGTTAAGGGGATTGACAGTAGAAAGCAGAGTAGCTTTGGAAATGGCTTTTAATTGTATTGGAAAAAAGCCTGAGCAATATGCAACAGAGTATTTCGTATGCACAAAATCTGTAACTGCACGTGCTGGGTTTTTTTAAATTTTTATGCACATAAACAACTGTGCTTTGAAACACTGAACTAATTCTTGAGTTGGATTTGGCTCAAAATACATGGTTGGTAATTAAACTAAACACAAATTGGATGTTTTGTGAATATTGAGTATTTAGCAAGACACCAAAAGACCTTCTGTGTTCATTGAGGTGGATTTCTTGCACAACACAGGCCTACTATTTGAACAGAGCAGAATTATCCTATTTCACTTCAATTTCTGTAATAAAATAAAATCTGCGTGTTTCTTTGCAGATTCTGAGCCGTTTGGTGGATGGAAGCAGATTCCAGGAATTCAAGGCTAATTATGGAACAACATTAGTAACAGGATTTGGCCATGTGGAAGGGTAAGGCTGTGAACATTCACAATGAATGGACACACATGTCTGAACAGCTTTTGGATCACCGTCAGGTTTTACACTATTTCAATAATATCTAGGGTTCAGAAGCGAAAAGAAATGGTTAAGGTTGGAAAAGACCTCTAAGATGATCGAGTCCAACTGTCCACGTGTCTTGTTCTGTAGGTACTTGGTGGGGATAGTGGCCAACAACGGGGAGCTGGCTCATGATGCTGCGCTCAAGGGCAGCCACTTTGTCCAGCTCTGTGGCCAGCGGGGAATTCCCATTGTCTTCCTCCAAAATACTCCTCCACAGCCAGCAGAGCCAACAAGCATCTCACAGGTATGGCATATTTGCTTCCATATACTTAAGCAATTCCTAGTTCTTCTTGTGCCTAAAGTTACCTTTTCACAGTTATTAAGTGTTAGGAAAATTGGGGTTTTTTTAAACCACTCCTAATGGTTTAAATCATGAAGCTTCATAATGACTTTGTTCTTAGATCTCTCCATTCTCTCTTGAATTTTAAGCAGGTTTGTATGCCTATACAAAATTATAGTGCTCAGCTGGCAATGTAGGCTGTAAAACCTGGAATTTAAACGTGCTTTTTACTTTGAAATACAGTTTATTGATTCTTCTGACACCACTGCACTCCAGAAAATTAGCTATTTCTCTTTTATAAAAGTGTAGACATTAAAGTACAGTAGGTTTTGTGCTGAGCTAGGGAAAGCCTCATAGTAAGACCTCCACTAGATTCCCAGATCTGCTTCTGCAGCCTTGTTCCTCCCAAGGTTACCAGCCCTTAGATAAAACCTGGCACAAATGAGTTGCTCAGTGCTGGAGGCATTTGCACCTGGTTGTAATTGCTGTGCTGATTTAAGTATTAAAATAAGTGCACAATAGGCTTATGAGTTAGTGATATGAGTTATTTATGATATGTATGAGTTAATGATACCAGCCAGTTAATGATGCTGCTTTTCTGTTGTGGAAGAAATGATCACGTAGAATTGTAAATAATATATGTTTAGAAATACAAGTTTGGTGGGGGCAGAGGGGATCTAGAATAAAGTCTTAAAGGATCTAAAATGTCTCTTTTTATTCCAGGCAGAGGCTCATTCCAACAGGCTGAAAGCCCAGGCTTCCATGATGGCTGCTGTTGCTTGTGCTGCTGTTCCCAAAATCACCATCGTCATCGGGGGCTGTTACGGAAGTGACAGCTACGTCATGGTAGGGGTGGGATCAGCCCAAGGGCTTGGGACACACCTTTCACACTGTGCTAAAACTTCACAGCCCTGCAGTTTTAAAACAGTCAGTTACCTCGATCTCTGAACTGCTTTTTAAGAAATGCAGCACAGGACATGGTTACTGAAAATTAAACATGTAAGAATGAAACATGTAAGTCCTTGGAGTTAAAACTCAAATACCAAAACAGCAGTATTGAAGGCAGTGGGGATGGTGGTGGTTCCTACCGCTGGGTGTTTGCGCTGATACAGGAGCTGTCATTAATGCTTTACAAATTCAAGGGTATTCCGTTCTGCCTTGATCTTCTTTGTGCCATCCACAGACACCTTTTGTGATTGACTTCAGTGAGTTTCATTGTGCTTTTGTTTTTTCTTTGTAGTGTGGGAGATCGTTCAGTCCAAACTTTCTGTTCCTGTGGCCTAATGCAAGAGTTGCTCTTGTGGATTCAAGAAGTTTCTCCACAGTCCCCCGAGCTGGGGACAGTGACTGTACAGATGAATCAGAGCTGAAACAGCTGAAGGCAAAGTAAGGACATTATTGCCTATTTTTGTTCATCTTACAGAGCAACACATCTCAAACTAATACAGCAAACCTGAACCTGCTGAAAAATATTTTAAATTTCTGTATAAT